CGGGGGGGGGGGGCTGGAAGTTGTGGGGTGCTGCATCATGGGGCTGGGGGTTCAGGGCAGAGCTGGGGGTCTGTCTCAGGACTCAGCTGTGTTGCTGGGGATTGGGAGGCTGCCTCACACTAAGAGGACCCAGGGATTGTGTCCACGGAAAGGGGTCAGGATAAAGTAGTGGGGTTGCAACCCAGGAAGGGTTTGGGGGGCTGCATTCTCAGGAAGGAGGCTGTGGGGGCAGGGTTGGGGGGGGGTCTGCATCCACGGAATGGGACTGGGGGGCTTGTGGGAATGAGGTCTCAGGATCTGGGATCAGGGTGGGGAGGCAGAGTCTGAAGAGGGGGTCTGGATCCCCGGGGAGGGGGCTAGACTGGGGGCTGAGTTGTGGGGGGCTGAGGATGTTCATCCCCACCCCAGGTAGAAACCCCAGTGAGCCCTACAGTGATGACACATCTGTGCCGGGGTAGGAGTTTGTGGGGGTCAATGAGCCTAGGATTCACCCCCCCACACACACTTGCCAGGTTTCCCAGGAATCCTCTCCCAACAGGGGTGGAGGCTCCCCCTTTTCTGGGTCCAAAACAGCAGAGGAGTGGACAGCTCAAAGCAGGTGTGACCAGGATGGGGGAGCCACCGGGCCCCAGGTGTGGCTGTCAGAGGGGATGCCCTCGGCTCACTAAACCTGAATCCCACTTTCCCCCTCTGTCTCTTGGCCTTGTTTGTTATTGTAGGGTCTCCTGTGCCCAATAGAGGGGTGTATGCATAATGGATTATGGCCCTAGGTGCCATGACCATACGCTCACCTTAGACCTACCCATGCAGGGTGGTTACTGTAGGGTCTCTTTCGGACCTCCAGAGCAGCTGACACTCCTTTGTTATTGTAGGGTCACCAACAAACACTCCTTTATTTTTATATGGCTTCTTTTAGGCCTTGGGCACCCCCAGTTTTTTGCTGCAGGGGCTTGTGTGAGGATACTTTGTTATTGTAGGGTGCCCATTCTCCTAAGCCTTCCTGTGCATGCTGAAGGGCCGGGGGTTATTGTAGGATCTTCTGTGCGCTGGCTGCGGGACAGGGCACTCTGTGTTATGGTAGGGTCTCCTGCGACTGCGGAGCTGCGTGGCTTGCCTGGGGTTCTGGCGAGGGCCGAGTCAGGCTAGTGTGAGACTGTGGTCTTGCCCCTCCCTGGCTTGGCTGCTGCCGCTGCTGGGAATGAAAAGGACTCTGTGGGACTCAGACTGTGGTGGAAAATGTTCCCACAAAGGAGCGATTGTAGGAGTGGGGGGAGCTGGCTGGGGGGTGGGAGATCTCCAGGGAGAAGAGCAGGGGCACGCTCCCTGCACAGACCAGTGTGGCACTAGGGCAGCAAGGGGCAACCAAGGCTACTGAGTGGGCTGCAGGAGTGACTCTCCTTCACCTCCCTGGGCCGCAGGAGTGTCAAACCCAGCACCGTCTCCCGGGACAGGGCTGTTTTGCTCACTGTGCTTGCGTCCCTAGAAGTCAGCCCGGTGATTGGACGCGGGGGGGAGCGCGTGGCGCTCACAATGTTGGCTGCAACCAGCACGCACCTCACTTCATGTGACCGGGCTTTACGTGCGTGTCGCTTTAATAAAACCGCTCGGAAAAAACCGTCGTGGATGGAAACCAGCGGAATCTGGCAACTCTGCGCATGGGCAACGGGAAACACAGTATCTCATGGGCCACACGTACGACCCCAATGGGCCGCACGGGGCTGCAGGTTGCCCCCCACTACGCTAGGGGATTCAATGTAGGAGGGAGCACATGGGGACTCAGTAGGAGCTGCTGTGCTGCAGGGAGCAGGCAGGGGGCCAGCAGGGGGCGCTGTGCTGCGGGGAGCAGGCAAGGGGCCAGCAGGGGGCGATGTGCTACAGGGAGCAGGCAAGGGGCCAGCAGGGGGC